ATTGTTTTTGAAAAAAAAAAAAAATGACCCAGTTTGTTCTTTCCACAAACCTGAGATGAATCATTTCAAAAGATCATGATGATTTGCTGCCTTTTTATTCCCATGTCTGGTCAGCTTGAGAGCCATGATTTTTCTATAAAATAAAAATATTCTTCTCTAAGTTCTCCCTCTGCCCCCCACGCAGGTTTTTCCACCGATGCAGTAAGTCAGATCAAGCCAAATGGAAAAAGCGTAACAACAGGTTTCCTTGAGCAAAGCTACTCCTGGGCAGGTTCTCCAGTCCCAGAGATGAAGACCAGCATGCTGTGGAATTATCCTCTTGTACACTGTAAAGATTTGTCACTCAAATTGGTTTAATAAAACACTGATTGGCCAGTATCCAGGCAGGAAGTATAGGCCGGGTGGCCAAACTAAGAATGATGGGAAGGAGAAGGGCAAAGTCAAGAGTCACCATCCAGATGTAGAAGGAGCAGGAGATGAATGTGCCATGCTAATAAAGGTACTACCACATGGCAGAGCATAAATAAGGAGTATGGGTTAACTTAAAATGTAAGAGCTAGTTGGTAATAAGCCTGAGCTATTGGCTGCACATTTATAAGTAATATTAAGCCTCTGAGTCAATTATTTGGAAAGCAGCTGCCAGGTATTTGGGAAGAGGCCCTGATTACACCAGAGAAGGTGCACCCACAAATGAAAGCAGGGAGACGTTATAGGTTGTAGGCAAGGAGTGGTGATGTGTCTGCCAATAACTGGGTTTGTACCCAAGAATGGCCAAAGCTGAGCACTTTAGGTAGGGACCTGGGCAGCTGCAACTTCAGGGGAGGAAGCTGCAGTAGCTGCCAAGAGTGCAGAACTGGGCTTTTTGGTGCCTTTCCTTTGTTCAGGGACTCTCTGAGTGGGTGGGGTTTGGAGAGAGAGACAGGAATGGGGCTTTCCAGATCACACAGGGGTGAGTTGGAGGTTCCAACTGAACAGATATCTAAAGTCTTAGCTATGTGGGAAGCTGAGGCAGGAGAGCTAGTAATTCAAGGCCAGCCTGACAACATAGTGAGACCATCTCACTATGGGGAAATGGCTCAGTGGGTAAGATTGCTTGTGGTGCAAGCAAGAGGACTTGAGTTCTGATTCCCAGGACTCATATAAAAACTGGGCAGGCTAGGCATGGTGGTGCATGCCTTCAATCCCAAGTACTTGGGAGGCAGAGGCAGGTGGATCTCTGTGAGTTCAAAGCCAACCTGCTCTACATAGTGAGTTCCAGGATAGAAAGGGTCACATAGGAAGACCCTGTCTCAAAAAAAAGCAAAAAACAAAAAACCCACCCCCCCAAAAAACCCAGAATAATAACAACAATAAAACAAAAAACTTTTTTTTTTTTTTAAGTTGGGCATGGCTGCATGTGTTTGCAAACCCAGCATTAGGGAATGGGGGCAAGTGAATCCTGGAAGTTCTCTGGTCAGTCAACCTAGTTTATGTGTCAGTGAGAGATCCTACCTCTAGGCAAGAAGAAGAAGAAGAAGAAGAAGAAGAAGAAGAAGAAGAAGAAGAAGAAGAAGAAGAAGAAGAAACTCATTGTCCTCCTCCGACATACATACCTGCACATTCATGTGTGTATACACCCACACATACATCATACATCACATACACACAAATAATAAATAAAGTGAATCAGTTAACTAAAGGATTCTTCTCCAGCTCACCATCCCATCCCCCCTGTCTCTCTAAGAGAGAAATCTTGTGCCCCTGGCCTAGGCGGGAGACTATCAGCCTTGCTGGTGCTTGGCCTTCCGAATTATGCAGTGGTTCTGTGGGTTTAGGCCTCATGTCAAGAAACATCCAGGCAACAGAGGACCTGCTTCATTTCTTCAGACACTTCATAATCTCATGTGGAAGGAAGAAGGGTGCTTACTAGAGCTGGCTAAAGTTTTACCTTTAAATAGATAGACACCTCTGAGAGGGGCTTGCTTTGGTTTTGAGAGGCCAGCAGCTTCGAAGAGAGCCGACCAGCAGGAAGACAGGCTCGAGCCAGAAGGAAACAACAGACTACTGACTGCTACACAGCACTGGGTTGCTTCCAGCGTCATCCACAAGCGTGAACTCCAGACAGATGTCACACTCTGCCACCACTGCCAAGTGAGGCCTTTTGACGGGCAGGAAATTGCTTTAGACTTTAATTTCCTATATTATTATTTTTATTCGTATGGGTATTTTGCCTGCATGTAAGTCTGTGCACAATATGTTTGCCCAGTACCTGCAGAAGCCTAAAGAGAGTATTGGATCCCTGGGAACTGGTGTTAGAGGTGGTTGTGAGGGTGCTAGGAGTCGAACCTGGGTCCTCTGCAAGAGCAGTCAGTGTTCTTAACTACCTCTCCAACTCCTCGATTTTACTTTCTTCACCTCAACCTCTAAGCTAAAGGGCATTTTAAAATAATTCCCAGAGAATGTAATAATGTGTGTGATATTCCTTTTGCTCAAATAAGGGCAATGTGATATTGCTGGCATGTATTAGTTGGAGAAATTTTATGCCTTCATCTGAGTGGGTTGCATAATCTCTGGGGAGCCTGATGGACTGTCCTACTCAGGAAACTTTAGGGTGGAACACTGATCTGGGGGGAGAACTTTTAAATTAGAGCATGAATAGCCTCGACTAAATTCAATTCATGCTCTCTTCAGACCCACCTCAGAGCCTGCACAATCTGGTCACTGACCTCATTGAGGGTGCCTGAAGGAATGGGCGTGGGGAGCAGCCTCTCAGAGGACTCTCTCACGCAGTTGGTACCTTTTCCAGTCAGGACAGCTGCACTATGCTGTTCAGAGCCTGTTCTTCAGGTGTCAGCATAAGTCTGTAGGTGAGAGCCTGCTTCCTCAGAGATTTGGGGAGCTGTTTCCCCCCTTCTTTGCGGTCTCCTGTCTCCCTCCCACCGCCACAGTGGAGTGATTCATTCAGTCTGGTGGTGGGAGAGGCAAAGGCCTTAAGCTCAGGGCCTCTCCACGTCTGGATCTTTTTTTTTTTTTTTAAATCTTGAATTTTTTAAAATTTATTTATTATGTATACAGCATGTATGACTGCAGACCAGAAGAGGGCACCAGATCTCATTACAGATGGTTGTGAGCCATCATGTGGTTGCTGGGAATTGAACTAAGGACCTCTGGAAGAATAGTCAGTGCTCTCTGAGCCATCTCTCCAGCCCCACGTCTGGATCTTACCTGTCTCCGGGCAGCCTACAGTCTACCTGACTTTTGCCTTTTTTTCTCTAGCAAATTCACTAGTGTTTTCCTGCCTCTGTTGCAAGGCAGGATGTGGCAGGTCTGTCATTACCACCTAAGTCAACTCCATTCGTTGGGGAAGAAAGGGAAGACCAGTTTTTGATGTGGTTTGCAGTTTTGCTGACAATCTACCTCCAAAGTGCTGAAGGTTAGGCGGGATCTGGAATTCTGCTGGATATAGGGCAACTCCAGACAACGATGTACTGCATCCTCCAGTCAAAACCAATTCAAATATAAAAAATAAGTAAGGATAGGAAGAGCAGAGGCTAATATTCCATTTCTATAGGTGCTTATTATACTTCTGATAATAAATTTCATTTGTGTTCAAAACCTTGGAGGGAATAGAGTCGGTTTAATTAGTATTACAAAATCCCAACAAGGGTGATCTTCCTTAAATATTGAGGAACCCAGCAAGGAGCTTCAGGATTCCACCTCTATACTGTTGCTCTGTCATAAGGGGATGGACTTACATAGTTCCAGTTAAAAATCCTGAGGAAATGGCCTCACGTCCACCAAAACAGCTGCCATCAAAAGCAGCAAATCAAGCTGGCTCAGTAATGCAGGCCTGTAATCCCAGCCTCTCAGGAAACTAAGGCAAGAGGAGAGCAAATGGGAAACTTGCCTGGGGTATGCAGTGAATTCAAAGCCAGCCTTGGTAACTCAGTGAGACCTTGTCTCAAAGTACAGAGATTAAAAAGAGGCCTGGGGATGTAGTTCAGCCGTAGGGCACTTGTTTTGATAAGTTAGAAAGAGAACCATCATATGATCTATCTTACACCTCTGGATATCCAAAAGAATTGAAATCGAGGCCTTGGAGTGTTGGCACTCTCCTTTCTCTGTGTCCTGACCTGTGGAGGTGCAAGCATGCTGTCTCACATTCCCGCTACCATGGCCTTCTTTACCAGGATAGACTGCACCTCCAAACCTGGCAGCTACCTGGAAACAGAGAGGCCACTGGAGCTGTGGAGAGGGACCAGGCGATGTCTCAAGCTGCTAGTGTCATTAACACAGTGGCATATGCATATCTGTAATCTAAGTACAAGAGTTTTAGAGGTTCCAAGTTATCCTTGGCTAATTAGTGAATCTGAGGCCGCTCAGATCACATGAGACCTTGTTTCAAACAGAAAAAAAAACCAAACAAACCATATCCTCAAGATGCTAGTGTTTCAGGCGCACTAGATGTAATAGTTAATAGAACCTTGCTCCAAGATTCCAGAAAGCCACAAAGGCCAGGAAATGTAACAAGACATGGATTCCTTACACGGAGCCACTGAGAGACCATTACTGCATGCAGCTGTGAAGGAGAAGCCTGAATTGCAGCGGAGATCCCAAGAATGTGGAACATGGAGCCTCTTCATGGAAAGAACAGGCATTGAATGGCGCTAGCCAGTGAGAGAACTTTGTGGGCTACAGACAACAGAAGTGGAGGGGTGGGGATGCCAGATCTGTTGGGAGGACAGATGATGCCGAGAGCCTCAGGTGCTGAACTCAGAACTGTATAATCTGGTGTTTGCTCAGTTGAGCAGCGTTGCTTTGGTCCTGCCTTTCCTTGCTGTGCTCCCATGCCGCTGTGCTCTCATGCCGCTATGCTCCCATGCCATTGTGCTCCCATGCTACTGTGCTCCCATGCTACTGTGCTCCCATGCCACTGTGCTCCCATGCTTCCACTTTGGAACAAGCTTACTCTGTGTTGTTGTATTTTGAAAATATGTAACTTTTGTTTTTTTTTTTTACAGATTTATTTCTTTTTATTTTGAGTATGGGTGCTATGCCTACACGCAAGTCTGTGCACCACATGCATGCAGTGCCCATGGAGACATAGGATCCTTTGGAACTGGAGTTACAGACAGTTGTTAGCCATGTGAGTGCTGCAAACAGAACCATTTCTGTGGTTTTCCTACAAAAGGAGAGGTGAGATGTTTATTCTTTTTGTGTTTTACAAGCCAGAAAAATAAAACTAATAAATAAACCTCAGATGTTCAATCTGAGGTGACAGAGTGGAAAGTGCAGAGATGCTTTTGAGAAATAATTTTTAAAACATTTGTTCATTTAGTGTGTGTAGATGGTGACGGCTGGGTGCCACAGTGCTCATGTGGAGGTCGGAGGGCAACTTGCATGAGCTGGTTCTCTCCTTCCACGTGTGGGTTCTAGAGACGGTGCTTAGGTTGCCAGGCTTTGAGGCAAATGCCTGTACCCTCTGGGCCACCTCACCACCCCACTAATTACTTATTTCTATTTGAGACAGGGTCTCATAGTTCCAGCAGGCCTGGCCTTGAATTTCTGGTCTTCCTCCATCTCCCAAGTGCTGGGATTAGAGGTGTACACCAGCACTCGTGGCAAAGATGCATTGTTTAAAGCATTGGAATAGATAGGAAGGTTCCTGCATGATTTATGTTTTCCAGTAATGTATTGTACTCCAAATTCAGCCGTGTAAGGTTATATGCAATTTCGAGCCATAAATATTTAAAATAAAGCCTTTTTGCTTTTGTAACATCACCTCACACCTTGGCTCAGTAAAACACATTAAGTGCTGGTTTTCTGTGGGGATATGTAACTCAGTTTAGGTAGCCTCTTCACATGGATAATGAATTTAAATGTCTGGGAGATGGTGCAAATCACTGAAAGTCCTCCGGATTCGGGGATGAGGCCTTGGCCAGAGCTGTGTAAAGGAGGCGGAAAAGCAAGGTGTACACATGGTATATGCCTTCCAGCCCTCAGGCTCCCTCCTGCAGACAGCATACCTTTTGCAGGGGCTGGGCTACTCCCCCCTCATTCTGACACTGTGGTTAGTGAGCGCTGCCTATCCCTGTCACTCTGCCCTGCTGGGTGTGGAGTGGGCGTGTGGCCCGAAGGCACTGGAGTCCTTCCCAGATGATTTTCAACCCAGAAACAGGGACGGAGAGTCCCTGCTTAATGACACAGGTGGTGCAATCACTAGCACTGGTTAGCCCTTGGGGCAGCTGCCAGAGTGAGTGACAGAAACGCCGTGAAGACCGAAGTCAAAAGGACAGCGTTTATGATTGTTTAGCTAGTCCCTAACGGGCAGCTGTACCTCAGTCCCCCAGAATGAGGTTTGGTATTGCGACTGTCATTTTTCTTTCACCTAAGCTTGTTGGAGTTGTATTTCTATTACTTTCCATTAAAGGAGTCTAGGAGTGCAGCTCAAGACACTGAGCACAGGCCAGCCAGCGTGCTCAATGAATAAAGAAATGTAAAATAATAAGAAAATGAAGAGGGCGCCGGGCAGCGGTGGCGCACGCCTTTAATCCCAGCACTCGGGAGGCAGAGGCAGGCGGATCTCTGTGAGTTCGAGGCCAGCCTGGGCTACAGAGTGAGTTCCAGGACAGGCTCCAAAGCTACACAGAGAAACCCTGTCTCAAAAAACCAAAAAAAAGAAAATAAAGAGGATTAAGAAAGTGACTGCCTCACCCCGTCTTTTGAAGGGCAAGCATTTTATTTACAGCAGGGAGGAGTTCTGAAAGTAGGTTTCCCAAGAAAATGGGTTGCTTGCCATACCCTTAGGGAAGTTAGCCGTTTTCAGCAATTGCAGAAAGACTGGAGACCAGGACAACGCCAACATCCAACTTGGTGATAATCAGATGAACAGAAGTGGGAATCAACATGGCATGTAAAGATGTCACAGACCTACAGAGAGAACTGGGAAACCTTAGCAAAGGCTGTGGAAGGCCCAGCAGATCCATGGCTGTTGAGACAGCAGCACTTTGTAGGGGACAGAGGGAGGCTTCAGGAACCCTCCGTTACAACCTGGATCCTGTTGGAAAGGATACACTGGGAGATTAGCCATGGCCAGGCAGACCATCACCATATGCTGGTTCAACAGCTTCCACTGTTCATGCCTTTCATTTTCCAGCTCTTGTCTGATCATGCAGGTTCAGCTCTGTGTTCTGCTGAGCTGGCTTCCTTCCTGGGAGAAATGGAACAGCTTTACTAACAGCCTTAAACTACTTTTGAAAACAAAGCAGTGTGCATACGAAGGACTGTTTTTGCTAGAACAGTAATACAGTGATTTGCTGTCCTCTTCTTGGTCTGATGACTGAGAGGCTGTGGACCCTGGACACATCCTCAATTTGGGAATTAGGGTGTAGCTCTAATGGTGGCAGAGAGCTTGCCAAGCAAGCATGCGTTCCTGGTTTAATCCTCAGCACTGGAACCAAACCCAAACAGAACAAAACACACTTAATTTGAGTTCACCTGTCCCCTCTGTGAAATGGGAAAACAGGTACCAGTAACAAGAGATATACTGCTGAGGTCACAGGCTATGTACCCTGCAGCACCAAATTATCCTTTTGGGTCACTTTATAAAGTAAAGGAGCTTGCTGTTCAAATTTCCAAAGGTCTTATAATAAAAAACCTAGAGGTCGCCGGGCAGTGGTGGCGCACGCCTTTAATCCCAGCACTCGGGAGGCAGAGCCAGGTGGATCTCTGTGAGTTCGAGGCCAGCCTGGGCTACCAAGCGAGTCCCAGGAAAGGCGCAAAGCTACACAGAGAAACCCTGTCTCGAAAAACGAAAAAAAAAAAAAAAAAAAAAACCTAGAGGTCGCCGGGCGGTGGTGGCACACGCCTTTAATCCCAGCACTCGGGAGGCAGAGCCAGGCGGATCTCTGTGAGTTCGAGGCCAGCCTGGACTACCAAGTGAGTTCCAGGAAAGGCGCAAAGCTACACAGAGAAACCCTGCCTCGAAAAACCAAAAAAAAAACAAAAAACCTAGAGGCAGATATTGGGGTAAATGCTAAAAAATCAGAGGGACAAAGGAACAAGTCATTGCCATGTCTTACCTCACCAACTCCATGAATCCTCTGACTGAAATACTCTGAGTCCTCACCTGAAAGGCTCCAGCCAAAAAAGCCTCTAGCTGAAAGGGATGCTTCTGCTGAAAAGCCTTTAGTTCCTGTCTCTTTACGCCCTACATACCTTTCTCTGCCCAGCCATCACTTCCTGGGTTTAAAGGCGTGTACTTCCTAATACTGTGATTAAAGATGTGTGCCACCATTGCCTGACTCTGTTTTCTCTCCTAGACTGAGTCAATCTCATGTAGTCCAGGGTGGCCTTGAATTCACAGAGATCCAGATGGAGCTCTTCCTCTCAAGTGCTAGGATTAAAGGTGTGTGCCACCGCTATCTGGCCTCTATGTTTAATCTAGTGGCTTGTTCTGTTCTCTGCTCTTCAGGCAAATTTATTAGGGTACACAATATATCACCATATTTCCCCTTTTTTGTCTAAAATAATAAAAAGGTTATAACTAATATAAGAAAAACTATATACAATAAGTACAATAACTATATATAATATATACAGTCAAGAATTACATTAACAATGTCCAGTCCATAAACATTTGACAAATTCAGAGAAAATATTCCATTATTTATCCTATTTTGGTGAGTCCAAAATGTACCTAATTCACTTTTTATCCTAACTTGTATTACCAACTGAATACTATCTTTTGATATCTTTCAAACTTATACATTTTACATGTCTTTAGTGAATTTCTTTCCTGAATTTGTTAGCAAGGAAAACTATAACTATCGAGTCTTCAACTCAGTCAGAGACCCAAGGAGGAAATAATATTACCTGAGTAAGCAGGAAGTGCAAACAAGCGAAAATAGAAAAGGAACGAAGACACTTCCTTTTCCTTCTTCATTTCCCCCAAATATCCATAAGGGAAGAGAACCCATAGCTCCAACTATAAAAAGTATACCAGAGGTAATCTCATCTCATCCCTCGTGGGGCGTTTTCCCAACCACCCCCACAGTTCCCCAGAGTTTTCTTGAGTGCGAGGAGCAGGAAATACTAGATAGAAGGATTTATTGCGGAGAATATCGCGGAGATAAACAGATAGAAAATAAAGGATAGCCTCGAGAGGGCCTGGAACCTATTCCAACGGGCCCTGACTGTCTCTTCCCCAGGGTTTTTATAGAGACGCCAAGGGGTGGAGCAAAAGACCTCCTCCCCCAGCACAGCCAAGTGCAGACCATCCCAGACACCTGCACTCAGGCCCGTGGTCCTGATTATCCTCTATGCGGACCTGCTGGGTAAAGCCACGAGGAACCCGAGAACGGGCTCCCACAATCCCTAAGTATGTCCTCCCTGCTTGCACTGTCTCTTCTTCCTCCTGGTCCCCTCTCACCAGGACAGGAAGACCTGACTAGAAAAGTCAGAGGATCCTAACCTTTTTTTGTATGTACTAACAGCTCAAAAATAACACACCATATGTGTGTAACCAAAGCTCTGCCATCGTACAAACCACACACCTAATAAAGAAGCTTTTTTTTTCTATGCTGTCCACAAAGAAGGGAGGGGCCTACAGAATGCAAGTGCATCCTTGGGTGCCCTTTCTAGATCTGCTTTGCAAAACAGGCATTGAAACATAATGTTGAAGATTGAGTTGTACTTCCCTCCATATCTTCTCTTTTTCTAGCCCCATATTTAACCAGTTAGTTGGGCATGATCCTTGTTTATGGGGAAGACTCCAGGTAGAACTTTATACAGCTTGTGACCAGTTGTTGAAGAATATTATTTTAAGGTGTGTCACATTCTTTTATGTTGCATTTGTTTAACTCTGTGAAGCTGTGTTACTGTGCCTGTATAAACACCTGATGGTCTAATAGAGAACTGAACAGCCAATGGTGAGGCAGGAGAAAGGCTAGGCGGGGCTGGCAGGCGGACAGAATATATAGAAGGAGAAAATTGGAAGGAGAAAGAGAAAGAGGAAGGAAGTAGCCAGCAAAGGAGGAGGACTCCAGGGTCAGCCACCCAGCTACACAGCCAGCCATGGAGTAAGGGTAAGATTTACAGAAGTCAGAGAATGGGGAACAACCCAGAGGCAAAAGGTAGATGCGATAATTTAAAGTTAATGAAAGCTGTCAAGAATTATATTCTTATAATTAAGAATAGGCCTCCATGTGTGATTTATTTGGGAACTGGGTGGCAGGCCCACCCCAAAAGATCAAAAATAAACCACAACAACCAGTAGGCTCAGTACTGACTGTATGTAATGTGAATAATAACAGACATTTAAAGCTTTAATTGTTTAAAAATTGGGAAGTTGGGTGTGATAGTGCACAGCTGTATACCCAGAACTCAGGAGGTTGTAGATCATGAGTTTGAAGCCACCCTGGGCTAAATAGAGAGGCTTTGTCCAAAATAAAATAAAATGCAAATTAGGAGACATCACGTTAAAATCTGGAGTCCTGGATTTTCTTCCATTCTGGAAGGTACTTGAACAATCTCCTTTGCTCCCCTGGTAACAATAACCAGCTGTATCACAACTCTACCTCTCGGGAATATAGCAGGCTGTTAATTGGGATAGCTGGTACCACTGTCTCAAAGAACTCTCTAGACATCAGAGGCACCATTCCAAAGAAGCTGGTTCTCACCTGTCTTCTGTCTCATGTGTACTATTTTAGTAAATTAAAAAAAAAATAGGAGCTTCCAGAGAAGCTAGGAAACAAGGAGGACCCTAAGAGGGATGCATGGATCGCCTTGGGAAGGGGAAACAGATGGGATCTCCACGAGTAAACTGGGGATAAGGGGAGGCAATAGAGGGTAGGGGATGGGGATGAGAACATGAGAGAACGGGATGGTCGAGCTGGGGGAGGGACAGAGTGGGAGAGCAATGAAAGAGATACCTTGATAGAGGGAGAGATTATGGGGTAAGGGAGAAACCTCATGTTAGGGTAATTCCCAGGAATCCACAATGATGACCCCAGATTAGACTACTAGGAACAGTGGTGAGGGTACCTGAACTGGCCTACCCTGTTAATCAGATTGGTGATACCCTGTCATCATAGAGCCTTCATCCAGTAACTGATGGAAGCAGATGCAGAGATCCACAGCCAAGCACTAGGCCGAGCCCCAGGAGGGAAGAGGGATTATATGAGCAAGAGGGACGGGGTCAAGATCATGATGGGGAAATCTACAGAGACAACTGAACCAAACTCGTAGGAACTCCCAAACTTTAGACAGATAACTGTGGAACCTGCATGGGACCGGATTAGGCTCTCTGCATATGGGAGACAGTTTCTTAGCTTGGTTTGTTTGAGGGGCCCCTGGCAGTGGGATCAGGATCTATCCCTGGTGTATGAGCTGGCTTTCTGGAGCTTATTACCTGTGGTAGGACAACTTGCCCACCCTTGATGCAGTGGGGAGGGGCTTGGTCCTGTCTCAACTGAATGTACCAGGCTTTGCTAACTCCCCATGGGAGGCCTTACCCTTTTGGAAGAGAGGAAGGGGTGTGGGACGGGGGTGGGGGTGGGGTGGAGAGACTGGGGGTAACAGGTGGAGGGATGAGAGGATATCTGTGGTTGGTATGTAAAACGAATAATTTTTTTTTAATAACAAAAAAGTAGCTTAATTCCAGCACTTGGAAGGCAGAGTTGAGCAGATCTCTGTGACTTCCAGGCCAGGCTTGTCTAAGAGCTAGTTCCAGGAAAGCCAAAGCTACACAAAGAAATCCTGTCTCAAAAAACAAAGAAACAAAAAACAAAAAACAAACAAAAAAAGGAGCTAAAACCAAATCAGATGCATCATGGGAAAGGACGTGTGCAATTAGGAAAAATAAATATATGACCAAATCTATCAATCAAAGCAGAGCACCACACAAACTGTACCTCTTAATAACTAGACCCTCGTTTTCTTGAACCCCATGGAGTCCTTGAGTGCTCTTTCTCCTATGGCCCGCTGTCAGTCCTGACATGTCCCTCTGAAATCTGCACTGTCTCTTCTCTGAATAAAAGTTATCTCAATTCTTTCCAATTCTGTTTGAGCCCTTATTTTCACTTCTTTAGTTAACAGACCGACTCAGACTGTTGGGAGCCTAGGAGATCCTTCCGCCATCCTGGGGGGCCTGCCAGTCTACTGTCTTTGTAAGGGAAAGTGAAGGCAGAGAGACATCCGCTTCTTGATTGCACTGATCTGAAAAGGACAAACTTAGACATCTCATTGGTGGATTCCCCACCACGTGGCTGCTTGGATACAAGGGGAGCTGCAGCGTACCTGACAGTTCTGGCAGCCGCTTCCTGATGATGACCCTATTCTATGCATGAAGAGTACAGATGTGTGATGGTCATTATGAATTCTGCCACAGATGGGCATGTGTTGTGGAATATTTAACTAGGCGAAGATATGTTACATTTGTTTATTTATTTAATGATGTAAGGATGTGTGCTTAATTATGAAAAGATGTGTTGCTGTTTTCACCTTGCCTGCCTAAGGTTTATTAGACTGGTCTAATAAAAAGCTGAATGGTTGGAAATGTGGGGATGGGGGGTGAGTTGGGGGGGGAAGGCTGGGGGTGGGAAGAGGAGGGGATCTGTGGTTGGTATGTAAAGTGAATAGAAAATTTCTTAGTAATAAAAAGGAAAAAGAAAATCTGAAGGGTCAGTAGCTAGG